TCTTGTCAGGACAAATGGGGCAGGCTCGTGCCCAGAAGACGTCAGCAGAAGCCCGGGCCCCTGCCGAGGAGGCTCCCGTTCCTTTGCCATTCCCTGGTCACTTGCTCCCCGACTCTGCGATGCTGTCTGAGCTGATCCCTCCGTTGCCAACGCAAGCAACTTGGAATCCTGAACCACCGACTCCTGCTGAAGCCGCGGCCCCAGCCGTTGCAGACCGAACCTGATTTACCACCATCGCAAGCCATGACTACTGATGCGTCAATGCCTTCAGCTGTTCCCGCCAGCAGCGCAGCATCCTCGTCAGATGCACCCGCTTCCCGTGGTGAGGCAAGGCCTGCTGAGGCTGAACCCGCAACGCCTCGCAAGCGCCTTCGACTTCTTGCTGTGCAGCTTCACGGTGAGGAGCTTTACCATGTCGATGAAGGTGTCGAGTTGACTGATGAAACAGCCGAAGCCTACGGCGATTGTGCACAATGGGATGATGATGAGTTTTTCGATGCCGATGAGCATGATGCTTGGCAGCCCACCGATGCGGATCCCGAGACCCCTGCATGCCTCATCCGGCCACTTGCCGATGAGGAGCCTCCTGTCGATGCACATACCGATAAGGTTGCTGAGGACTTCGAGCTGAGCCGACTTGAGCGCATGAAAGTTCTTTCTGAGGCCGATAGCAAAATTGATGGACACAAAACCTTGACAACAAAATACGTTTAAGTCTTGGCGAGTCAAAACTGTGAATGGTGTTCGAGTTTTCTTGAGGCGAGCCCGGCTCGTAGCAAGGGAGTACCGTTGGTTGGATCCCAATAGACAAGGTTTGTTCAGCCCGGCAACATCATGTGTGATGACACGAGTCGTGCCGGGACTCTTCTTGCAGCAGCGCCACAATGAGTGGCCCATGTTGGGAATTGACATTGCTGATGCTTATCTCACTTGTGAGCAGAAGTCCCCGACCGTGACAAAGATTGACAACCGGTGGTATGTCCTCCACCGACTTGTGCCGGGGCAGCGAGATGGCAGTGCTGAGTGGTTTTCGAATTTTACAAGCCATTTGCAAATCAAGTCCGGAATAACCTTGATGCCCGAGCAGCCTGCACTGTTTGCATTTCCCAATGCTTCAGGCGGTGGCATGCTGCATGTGGATGATGGTTTGGCCACCGGGCCAAAGGATGTTCTTGTAAAGCTTGAGGCGGGGATGAAGGAAAAGTATAAGGTGAGCACCGAGTGGATGTTTTCGGTTGGTGATTCGGTTTCCTTCCTTAAGCGCCAGCACACCTTAGTCACCCCCAGCTTAATGATCATCCAACCCAGCAGCAAGTACGTGGAGAAGCTGATGCAGATCACCGGCCTGAGTGCAGCGAAAGCGCGCCTCAAGGCGACGCCGATGCCCACGGGCAAGCTTCCGACTGAGTTTGAGGATGATCCAGCGCTTGATGCCGAGACTGCATCTCGATACCGTAGCGGTGTAGGCGTGCTGCTGTATTTGCAAAGCGACTTGCTTGATTGTCAGTTTGCCATTCGCTATTTGAGCACATTGTCGCATTGCCCCACCAAGGGTGCGTGGCAGCTCCTCCGCCATCTCACGAGCTACATCTTCAAGACGCAGAACGAGGTGCTTGGATTGCATCAGCCGGCCGTTGGGTCCGGCTTGGTTCGCAAACATGTTGAAGGTGGTTCGGTGTTGGAGTTGTTCACCGATGCCGACTGGAGCGGCAATCGCATCACCCGCCGCTCGGTGAGCTCGTGCATTGTTGCATGGGATGGCATGGTCATGCACAGCAGCAGCCGCACGCAGAAGTGCGTTGCACTATCAAGTGCCGAATCGGAGTTCAACAGCTTGGTGAGTGGTGCTGCAGATGCCATCTTGATCAGGTCGTGCATCCGATTCGTGAGTCCGGTTCCCATTGCTGAGACCATTGCATTGGTCGACAATTCCGCTGCGAGGGCACTCGCATCCAGGCGGGGAGTCGGACGACTCCGACATGTGTCAGGAAAACTTCTTTGGATCCAAGACAAAATTCAAAGTGGTGATTTTGGCATAAGCCCCGTAAGCACGCATGACAATGTGTCCGATCTTGGGACGAAAGCGCTGAGACAGGAGAGGATTGCAAAGCTTCTTTCCATGTGTGGCGTGCGAGATTCCTTGAATGGTTATGCGCTGATCGGAGAGGGCTTCATGCTTGAAGGGAGTGATCGCAACCGCATCCGCCGTGTGTTGCAAGGCGGTGCACTGCGCTCCAGCGCAGGCGTGTCAGCGACGGCATTGTTGCAAGCAGTTGCACTTGTGCTGCAGATCCAGCGTCTTGATGGACAGGGCACCAATGGCCCAGATGATCATGATGAAGTGCCCGGCCACTCCGATGGCATCCTTGAATGGCTCTTGGAATGTGTCGTCCAGGTTGTTGGCTATGGGCATGCGCTGTATGATATGTACCCTGGTGCAGTCACTTGTGCATTGCAGATTGTGATGATTGTTGTGTGCATGCTGATTGGTACCCGTTGCTTTGGCCAGCAGAGTCAGACTTCAGGTGTCACGGTGAACATCACATGCGGACCAGGTCCCGCAGAGGCTGCGCAGGTTGCACAGGTCGCGCAGGTCAGAGGTGCAAGGCCAAAGGCCGTGACAAAGCCACATGTGCAGAGCGACGATGAGCGGGCCCAGAGCCCAGGCGCGCACGAGGTGCGTGACCATCGCCCCGGGTCATCGAATGATCCTGATCTTCATGTGCGCGTGAGTGTGAGCCGATCTGCTAGTGAGCAGACTGAGAGATCGTCCAACGATGCGCCGAATGCACGGCCCATCCCGCGTCGCAAGGCCAGGCCAATGCCACATGAGGATACGGTATGGGTTTCGACTAGTCAGGGTTATGCTTACCATAAAGTGGGTTGCGGTAAACTGAACCAGAGCGCCGGTGTCAGCGAGGTGACCCGTGAACATGCAATCGCCAAAGGATACCGTGCGTGCCGCATTTGCAAGCCTTGAATATGCCATGCTGAGACCTTCTTGTGAATCCACGCTCTTGCGCCTTGTTTATGTAATGCTCTTGATGCACAGCACATTGGTTGCTTGTACATAGTCACTCATCTTTGCCAGTGGCGAAGTTGAGTGACAGGCTGCTGATTGTATATAGCTTGGCGATGTGTGACGTGGAGCGTTCACTTGAACGGCTTGAACGAAGCCCTGCAGCATTTTGCTGCCAATCCCATTGCGAGCAACACGATTTTCTGAGCAGATGTTTTCTTGAGTCGTGAAGCGGCTCATCCGTGAGGCGCAATTGGCGCCCCAAACCGCAACTAGGCGGTTACAATCTTGTTTTGCAGACTGGGCGCACTGAAGCGCGTGAACCACCACGAATCCGCTTTTCCTTGACAACTTGAGAAAGGCGTTCGCTTGCGTCCGTCAAGCACCTTGGGTCCTCGGCGATGCACGCCTTGTGATCCAAGTCCGCGTAGTTTTTGTATAGTCCGTAGGTCTGTACATATCCGAGCAAAGCCTTGAGCCGGCTAAAGCAAGCCCGATACGCAGTTCAGACAAATGACTAAGTCATGTAGGCAAGTGCACTGGAGCTGTTTAAAACGTCATGTACGCTGTCTTTCATCCTGGGAAATCGTTCACGAACAGACTACCCCTTTGCGCCTTAAGGCATAGTCTGAGGCGGGGTACGAACGATTTTTGGTATTTGCAGTTGCTTGTTTTACCATGTATTTTACTTTGCTCCTTTAGGCGTGCACTTGCGAATTGAGTACCGACCGAAGGCTTTTGTTGCTCAGGAGTGAAAAGTGCGTACCTCAGGAGCACGTGCGCATTCCGCTCCAAAGACTTGCCTCGGCAGCCTCCGAGGCACATTGGGACTGCCCTCGGTCTTCAGACTCGCCTCTACCTCCCAAGGAGCTAGAGTTGTCTTGACAGCCTTACAGGGCCTTGAGCTCGCGAAAAAAGCCTCGCCTGCTTCTTGCACGCGTGCTACTGACAAGTCGCCTCGGCCCCCTGCATTTGCTGCCAGCTCAGGTCCATCTCCACCGCCCGCGGTGGGGGGAGATTCGCCTGTGGCCTTACCGGTTGGATCTGTCCCTGAAGTGGGGGTTTTATGCCTCGGCTAGCCTCTCATGCCTTGGCACCTCCGGGCTAGCCGCAAAGCCTCACAGATCCAATCCGGTATAAAAGAGAGAAGCAAGTGCTAGAGCAGTGCAAGCCTTTCTAGAACGTTTCGTGTTTTTGTTCACGTATGTTTTAGAAGGCATGCGAATCTGTAGCACATCGCAGCACTGGCTCTAGTACTTGAGTTTTCTCGAAAAGCCCCGCCCGCCCTCACCTAGGTGCTTGCCTTCGGCCCTGGCCTCAGGGTCTTTAGCACCATGGAAGTCAGCTGCCTCAGCCTCAGCCCTGGTCAGCTTGGCCTCCTCTGACCTCACGGATGGCCGCCTCCAGCGAGGCCTCTTTTGCTCGCACAAGCCGAGCCTTCTCCGCCTCAGGTGGTCCGTTTAGCCTCCTCGCCTTTTCGCCTCTGCCTTTGAACTTGGGATTTCCCTAATGCCTCGTCCCCTTTCGGTTACCCGCCCTAACCCTCGCCGCCCAGGTACATCCGACGTCGACATCATCGCCTCTTCTTTGACATCGCCGAGTGACGACGTGCCTTTCCCTTTCACCGAAGTTTCACGGAGCTCGATTCGCCTGCCTCAGGTAAATCGGTTTGCTTGCCCTCTTGCCTTGCCGAAAGCCCGCTTTGCTTCTTGGGCTTGCCCAAAGGGGTTTGTAGGATGCAAAGGGGAGGAGGGTGGGCCCCAAAAGAAAGTTTTAATTGATTTTATCAATACGATTTCCTTTCCGATTTTCCGCACGTTTCTTTCATGAGATTGCTGTAGGTCTTTCTCATGCTTTCTCATGTTGACTTGCACTGCTTTAGTGCTCTGATGACTGATTCGATTATATCCGTGAAATAGAGGCTCCGGAGGAGGGAGCTTAGAAGTTTTAGTGGTGGGGGGCGCGGCCATGGGGTAGCACCATGGCCACAGCTTCTGCGGAAGCCGGCAAAGGTCAGGCCTGCTGGAATGTATTCCCTGCCGAATGGACAGAGCGCTTGCGTTTGAAGTATCCACAACCGTTGGTTGCCCTAGAGCTGCTTGAAAGTCCAGAAGGCTTCGAGGATGTTCTTGGAGTCATTTCTGGTAATGATATCCTGCAGGCGGCTTTGATGCGGGGACGGCTGCAAGCACTACGTAATCAGCTGGTTGTCAAGCGGAAAATTGCGCAATCACAAGTGAATGCGGGGTTCAAGAAGCCTCGTCTGCCAGTGTACCCATCTGATTCTTCGAGAGCACAAGAGACTTTTGCAGTTGCCGCGAATGCACTGGTCCCTTTTATACGAAAGCATGGGAAATCTGGCTTGGGCAAGTCTTTGCTGGCTGTGGAAGAGGATCCTGACATTCTTGAGTCCAGGGAGCGCGAGCGGTGGGTAGAAGTACTCAGTGTTTACATCATTGATGCCCAGTTGCCCGTTGTCGCCTTGATTGAAGGTTCAGAAGATCGTCGTCAAGCCTGGCGCAGGGTGTTCGGAGCCCGGAGAGCCAAGACCTTGAGGAATCGTGCAAGATCCTTTAAGCATTTTCGTATGTGGTTGGAGACAGTCAGGGGTTTGACCTGGCCATCACGCGTGTCAGATGTTACAGATTATCTGGAGGAACGTTCGAAGGATGGATGTGGGTTCAGTGTGCCTGGGGATCTTCTGGCTGCTTTATCTGTGCTGGAGTCTGTGGGCAGGGTCCACATGAGGGACAGGTTCTCCTCTGATGAGACAGTCAAGGCCGTGGCACAGTCCATTACCGAGGAGCTGCAGAGCCGGGCGGCCCCTCGCCGCCCCGCAAAGCTTTACACAACTGCCATGCTTCTGGCTTTAGAAATTCATGTTCTGGATGAGGATGCCTCTTTATTTTCTCGAATCATTGCTTGGGTGATTTCATTGCAACACTGGACTGCCATGAGGGCTGACGATGTGCAGTGGTTGGATCCTGGGCGTATGACGCTTACCGATAGCGGCCTCTCAGGAGTACTTAGACGGACCAAGACCACGGGTCCTGGCCGCAGGGCTCGGGAGGTGCCAGTCTACGTGGGCCGCGAGGTCTCGCTCTCAGGGAATGATTGGTTGCAAGTGGGTTTTGCCCTGTTCAGGCAGCCGGAGGTTTTCTGGGAGCGCATGTATTTTCTTCCTTTTCCTTCAGCAGACTGGACTTATGGGGTCAAGAAGCATATGTCGCCCGAGATGCTGAATGTGTGCATCAAGCGGGTACTTGCAGAGCTGTCTGTGCCGCAGCGGGGCGAACATGCATGGGTCAAAGGTTCCATGAGCTTGCTGCCTCAAGAGTTGTTGCCTTACTGGTCTGGTCATTCTGCAAGACATTGGCTGCCTTCCTGGGCGGCCACGCTTGGGGTTCCAAAACCAGATAGAGACTTCTTGGGAAGGTGGCAAGCCGGGGCGCATGAGAGCAATGAGTACATCGTCACCTCACGGGAGGTGGTGCATCGTGTGCAGATGCATGTCGTGGAAGGTGCGGTAGTGGGCCACGCTGGTGTTGATGAGCGTCCACTACTGAACGAGTTGCAGGAATTTGCAAACGCACGCGGGGTCAGCTTTGCCAGAGGGGCAGCCCGACACCGTGTGTGGCGGACGAATGACTCTGGACATCGTGGCTTGTTACTGGGGTTTCCACTTGATTACGAGCATATCACCGAGGGGCTGGACGTGGAGGCGGCCTTGGAGGTAACTGTGGAAGATGAAGATGGGTTAGACCGGGATGTTTCGAGCTTTCCTTACTGGGTCTCCATTTCGAGGCGTAGTCAGTTTCGACGGCTTCACGCCAAGGACAAATGCGGAATCATGCCTTGGAGTGTCTTTCGTGCGGAAGGTTTCAGAAGTGTCGATTCTGCCAATGCTGATGCGTGGTGTAAGACTTGCTGGAAGAAGGTCTCTTGTGAAGAGGCTGCGGCCTCTCAGGAAGATTCATCCTCGGGATCCTCTTCAAGCACCGAGGTGGAAGAGCCTGAGCATGCGTCTCAGGAAGAGTGACTCTGCGGGGGCCTAAACAGTGCGTTTGTTCGGTGCACGAATCATGTCTTCAATTTGCATTTGAGCTCTCCGTACGCATGTCTTGTGAGCACTTGGAAGCAACTTCGGAAGTAAGATTGCGGCTGAAAGACCAGAGCCGGAAGGACAGGTGCCTTAGGGGGGGGCACCGTAGGGCATGGCCGATGATGCGGCACGTCGGGCATATGTGGCCCAGCATGTCAGTGCTGATCTTGTCTATGTATGGGAGGAAATGGGCGTAAGTTTGCTGCACCAGCGCGAGCTCGGTGAGCGCTACCGCAGTGTTGCCCTGTTTTCTTCCATTGCCGATACGAGAGCGGATGCGCGGGCCGCGCTGCGGGCTGAGGTGACTGTCGCTGATAATGCTGACGGAAGGGCAGCAGTGGCAGGTCTGGTAGCAGCATGGCAGAGCTGCTACGACATGGCAGATCAAGAGCGTCGGCTGAAGGCCGAGGCTCACGTACTCGGTCTCCCAAAGCCGCTCCCATCGAATGATAGGATGGGCATGCGTCATGCTCTGGAGAGAGTTGTAGGCGCTTTGGAAGAGAAAGATGAGCCCAGTTCCACGTACCTTGCATTGAAGTTAGAGGAAGTCGAGGCTGGGGAACTCCGCGCGGCTGTGCTTGATGAGGTGACCAGCGTTTCGGATGAGGTCAATGCTCAGTTCCAATCCTCAGTGGACTCCTCTGGCCGGCTACGGCTTGTGAAGGAGCGCAAGAAGGCCAAGCTTCCCGCCACATCGGAGGAGCTTCGTCAGCGGCTTCGTCTTGAGTGTCATACCTTTCTTATGCTGGCTGCTAGGTTCCGCACCAAGCCTTGGTTTGTGGACCTCCGGGTGCAAGACTTCACAAAGCACATTGACTATGTGTTGGGTGATAAGATCTTTCTTCTTCAAATGTCTCGGCCTGACGGTTCTTCGGGCACGCAGTCTGTCAATCCCTCCTGGACTCTCTTGTTGAGCTTTGAGCATCGTCTCCGTAAAGAAGCATACAAGCGAGCTTGCAGGGACAATCGGGACATTTCAACAACATTGGCAGAGGTCAGAACGGATGCTGCGCTGAAGGAGACCTACTTTGTGGGCCCGTTGGCGCTGGAGCTAGCTAGTCGGGGGTCTTCGTCCACGGCCCCGCCCCCGCCAGCAAAGTGGCCTCGGCTTCAAGACCATGTTCCTGGTGCTGAAGGTAGTGCAAAGGGCAAGGGTGGCAAGGGCCGCGGCAAAGGAGGTAAAAACAGCCTCCGTATCGGCTATCCTTCGGCCAGAGGGTTCGTGTTCAGCAGCACGCCGGATGGGCGACAGATCTGCTATGCTTACAACAATGGTTCGTGCAAGGGCGATTGCGGTCGAGTGCACGTCTGTCAGTTGTGCTTGAAGCCTCACCCTCGTAAAAGCTGCAAACTGCAGAAAGAGAAGGGTGGTGCAGAGGACAATCAGACCAACTGACTAGCCACGGATGTGGCCGTTTCATCTGCCTGGGAGTGCTGGGATTTGGAGCCGGTCGAATCGGACAGAGTCTTTCACTTTCTGCATTTTTACTCAGGCGGTCGCCGTCATTCCAATGTTCGGGAATGCTTGCAGCGAGAAGCCAAATCACTTGGAATTCGTTTGTATGGTCTGGAAGTTGATCTTATGGGAACCTCTCTCAAGAGCGACACTGGATCGGGTTTCAGTGCGGAATTGCAACTGTTGATACAGGAAGCTTCCGTGGTTTTGCTGGTCCCAGGGGTCAGCACCTTCAGCCGGGCCAAAGCTCACTGGCGCACCGCCGGTGGACCAAGGCCGCTTCGCTCTCTACAGTATGTTTTCGGGTTTCCTTGGCTGTCGGATAAAGATCGTTCCACGGTCGAGGAGGCTAATTTCGGGGTGCTGAAGTGCTTCGAAATTTGTTTCATTCGCCTTGAGCTTTGTAAGTCATTCGTTTTTGAGCACCCGGAACAACTGGGCGCGGTTAACGACTTCGTTCCTGCTTCAGTCTGGGACTTTGATGAGTTCAAGCAGCTTCTACTTCTGGATGGGGTGCAGACAGCGGCCTTCTTTCAGTGTCAATGGGGAGCACCTTCGAGTAAGCCCACTCGCCTTTTATGGAGCCGTCTCGATTGGTGTGAAGCTGCACTGTTCTCTGGGCCGCCGCAGCTTGCGGCGGAGGGACGATATCGCGGTCCTCTGCCGCCCTCTTGTGGTCATCGTCACGACCGCTCATTACTGGGGAAGGATGCCGCGGGTGATTGGTCCACCGCCTCAGCAACTTATCCACCGCTGATGTGCACCTGGCTCTCCAAAAGCATGCTGCGTCTCTGTCGCGTTGAGGGGGCTGGGGACGCATCTACTTTTGGGCGCAGGCCGTTGGAGCAGGCCACTTGGGATTCTGATGCCTCCTCGGACGAGGAGGGTCCGAAAGGTGTTTTCGAGCTCTCTTCCTTGCGTCTGGAGCTACCAGCGGCAGGCCAAACTTCGGATGCTGAAAGTTTCGCGGCTCGGCTCCTCAAGAAGGGCAGGGTCACTGTGGAGGACTTCGAAAGGCTCTGTGGTCTTCTTCCGTCGGACCCCGAGGTCCGCGCTACGGCTGGGGACCTGACCTCTAAGACTTTCATGAGTGGCTTCTTTCAGCATGGCGGGGTCATTGGGCTTCGCACGCACGTGTCCAGTCATCCCTGGGTTACGGCACTTCTTTGTGGGATCCTTCGTGCTGCTCTTCCAGGATACACCTTTACTTCGGTGGTGGTGTCGCGGAACCGCCAAGTGCTTCCACATTGCGACAGCCAGAATGGTGCCAACACTTGGAACCTCCTGGTCCCGGCCTCCCGATTCAAGGGCGGAGGGGTCTGGCAGGAAGTGGATGACGGATGCGAACCCATGGAGTACGAAGGCGAGCAACGCTGGGGCAAAATTCTGCCGGTGGCCGCGGGTCCCCAACTGCTGGATCCTCGGCGACTCCATGCTACGATGTCTTGGAAGGGCGTGCGGACCGTGATCATTGGGTTCTCGATCCGGGAGCCTGCGAAAGCTAGCCGTACCTTGAGGAACACCTGGAAAAGGATCTCAGGACTGCAGGGTGTGTCGCAGACGGATGAAGCTGTTTCGGGCGGGCTTACACCATCAGTCCGTCTTCTCGAGCGGGGAGCTGGAGAGGAGGGTGACACCTTCCATGGTCATCTGGTCCAGGCTCGCAAGGACAACTTCGGCGATCCCATCACCGTGCAATGGCGAGGCAAGGTCCATTCCTTCGTTGATGGTTGCGGACTTAACAGTCCGGGTCGCTGGCGCCCGACCGCTCGGGGCCGGGGGCTCACCAAGGAAGCTGACGAGTTCGTGAGTGCTCTTCGGAGTCTTCTGGATGATTTCATCAGGACCGAGATCGTGGACCCCAAGCGGGCATATTTCATGTTGGCCCTGGGCAAGTACGAGGAAGCCCCCTTTTCTGCTCAGGCCATGGATCGTCTTCGTAAGTCTTGGTTCTCTCTGCTGGAAGATCCTTCAGCGGCCGCTCACCAGGAGCCTGGGCAGCCGTTCTTCCTGGAGGCGCTCTCGCAGACTTGTCGGGCTATGGGAGATGAAGACTGGGAGGTTCTCACACGTGCAGAGGACAACTATGCTCGTGGGCGGAGACTAGGAGTGGACCGGCCCTTTCCTCGCGTGGTGGCGGTCTTCAGGCCAAAGGGGAAATGGCGAGAGTATGACGAGTCTGAGTTTCAAGCAATCAATGAGAACTACTCTTCGGCCAAGGCCGTGCCCGAGCAGCTGGAGAAGCAATTCGAGGAGGAGGAGGCCCTTGGATTCATGTATCCATTGTCTGAGAAGGAGGCGCGGCGGCGGTTTGGGGAGACGCTGCGGGTGGCAAGTCTCGGTGCCATCATAAAAGATGATGGCTCGGTGCGAGCCCTCTTTGACGGCACTCACTCCGTCAAGCTGAACAACATGATTAAGATTTCTGATAAGCTTGAATTCCCTACACCTTCGAATGCCGCGCGGGCGATGGAAATCCAGCAAGAAGATGGTCATCGACTCCTTATAGGAATCGCTGCGGACATTGCAAAAGCACATCGGAGGTACAAGCATGCACCCGAGGATCATGGCTACCTTGGTTGTCGGGCCAGGCCAGACGGCCCGATCTGGATTAACCGGGTGGGAACGTTCGGTGTGGCCTGCGCTGCTTATCACTTCGCCAGGTTGGCTGGGCTGATAGGTCGTGGAGCCCTTCGCATCGCGCTGCAGGCCTCGCTTTTCCAAATGCTCTTTGCAGATGACCTGCAGATCATGGCGGGTGGAGAGCAGAAGTACCACGACCTTTGGGTGGTGCTCCTCTACTGGCTTATGGTTGGCACTCCTTTTAAGTGGTCTAAGTTTCGCGGGGGAGTTTGCTTGGATTATGTTGGTTTCTACTTTGATTACTTCCGGTTCAAAGTGGGACTGTCTGAGCGTCGGGCGAACTGGCTCATCGAATTCATCACGGATCTGCAGAGGGGCCGAGGTATGATTGAGCATCGGCGCTTCACCGAGTTTGTGGGGCGACTGGTCTATGCTGGACAAGTTCTGTACTGGCTCCGACCGTTCATGGGACCGCTTCACCGCTGGAAAGCTGCCATCACTCCAGGAACTGTGGCCTTGGTACCTCGTATGGTGATGGTGGTCCTTCGCTACATCTTGACCTTGCTGCAAGAGAAGCATTATCTTGTCTGCTGTAAGTCGCCACCTTTGATGCTTCGCGAAGCATTTCGCACGGACGCGAAAGCAGAGGATGATTTCTTCGTGCTGGGTGGATGGGAAACGCTGCACAGCTTTGAGCCAAAGAAGTGCCGTTGGTTTTCTGTCCGGGTCTCTGCCGCTGATTATCCTTTCTTGTTTAATGCACAAGGGACCGCGAAAGGAATGAGCACTGTCGCCGAGCTTCTGGCCACGTGGCTGGGGCTGCACTTGTTCGGATGGCTGGATGGGACTGGGCAGAGTTTCACGGTCTCTGCGGGGACCGACAACCTGGCGAATGAGC